GAGAAGATTGTGTACACATACAACATCGACATGGCCCCACAAGAAACTCAATCATCCAGTTCCAGTCAATACATTAGAAACATGGATGATTCCATTTCAGCTGTTGAATCCATATTGAAATACACTTTCAAGAACAAAAAACTGTTAGAAGAAGCCTTAACACATTCTTCCTACACCGAGTCTCAATCCTACCAACGTCTGGAAATCCTGGGGGATTCTGTTCTGGGATTCCTCATCACTAAATTTGTCTACTTGGCTTACCCTGAACTTGACCCTGGTCAAATCTCGCTCCTCCGAGCCGCCAATATCAGTACTGAAAAACTCGCACGCGTGGCGGTCCGCAACGGCCTTTACAAATATGTCCGCCACAAAACCAAAGTTCTTAATGACAAGGTATTGCTATCTATAATTATGTACACACTCTGTTTCTTTATTTAAAAAATATTCATATATTTATGCATTTACGTAGTTACCCATTGTTTATTTGTAATTAGGTTAGGGAATTTGTGATTTCGGTTGAAGAAGAAGAAGAAGAAGATGAGATGGTGGTGCATGGTGGACAGATGAAAGCTCCGAAGGTGCTTGCGGATATTGTTGAATCGATTACTGGAGCTGTATTTCAAGATTGTGATTTCAATTTCCAAATTCTATGGGAGGTGAATGGTTGTGAATAATGATTGCAAATAACTTTTGACTAATTAGATATTGGAGTGATCAATTTCTTTTGACTTTTTTTTTCAGGTAATTAGAGAGCTGCTTGAACCGATGGTTATGCTAAATGTTCTTGAGAAACGGCCACAGCCTATTACCATGCTATACGAGGCATGTCAAAAAGAGGGGAAATGTGTTGAGATAAAGAACTCGAGGCAAGGTTAGAACTTATTTCTAAAATGCAGAATTCTTGACATTTAAAACTAATATTATATACCTTTTTTTTTTCAGGTGAAAGAAACATTGCAAGCGTTTATGTAGATGGAAAGTTTATTGCCTCTGGTTCTTCAGAGAACAAAGAGAATGCTAAGCTTCATGCGGCTGAGGTTGCTCTTTCTAAGTTAACAAGGCTAAAAAGAACTACTGATGCAATAAGTTTGCAAATGAAGGGTAATTCTGGTGAAGTCACTGAGATTAAAGGTGCTAAACGAAAAATACATGAACTTTGTATCAGGAGAAGGTGGCCAAAAGCGACTTATAGGTATGTTAATATTTTGCTTTTATTACTAAACTAGATCATGTGAGATTAATTGAAGATGGAAACCGAATTAATTGTAAAATCCGTTTAATTTTAGTGTTTTTTTTTTCTGGCAGAATTGAGCAAGAATTGGGTCCTGCACACGATAGAAGATATATAGCATCGGTGCAAATTGAACTTTCTGATAAGATATTTTTTATGAAGGGAGAAGAGAGGTCAAAAGTCAAGAAGGCCGAAAATTCTGCAGCCTCAATTATGTTTTTTTCTTTGCTAGAATTGGGATATTAATGAATGTCTGAAAACGAAAAATAACTCGCATATATGGATGTCTAAAAAATCATATATGAATGTTCAAAAAACAAACAACTCACATATGCTTCTAACATTTTCCTCATTTGATCGTTACAAGAGTTAGCAGGTAAAAACTAAAAAGTGTCCTTTTAATTTTGATCTAATATTTTCATGCCCATTTTAAGTAAATGAAGAATCTCGATCATTTTGTGCCCATCTCAAGCCCAAAAGCCTTTTCATGAAAAAGGCTCTTGTGATATGGCCTTAAGGATAACACAAACAAAGCTTCTTTATCGTGTTAGTGTATCTTTTAACAAGATACGAACATATAAATATTTTATTAGTAAGCACATAAAAACTTGAATATGAAAATATGAGATACATATAAAAAGGTTACCTTCATTTTCCGCCTTCCCGTGTATTTATCCTAATGATTTTTAAATTGAAGTTATAACATGAACATACTAAGATTTTTATTACTATCACATTGTACAGTGATTTTGAAATAAAAATTAACTCTAAGTATCATTATTTGATGAATAAAATGTTAGTAAATATTATATTTAAAAAAATATATCAAATATTAATCTTGGTTTTACAAAAATAATGTATTTTGAAAAATAACCACCATGTCCAAAATGACCTATTCCGGAGACCATTTCGGACTTAGTTGATCGAGCTCGACCCATTCCAATATGTTCAAAATGAAATTCAGGAATGCACATTGGAATATCTAAATATTTCAGATTAAAAAGGCAAAAAAGATATGACATCTAATTTCGATGAGTTGGAGGAGGTTTTACAGGTGAGTTCTTGACTCCTTGAGTTTTACTTTTTTATTTTATGATTATTATTGTAAAATAGGTAATCCGGAACACAAAGATCATGTTCGGAACGTGAAGATCATGTTCGTATAATCTCTTGAGTAGGTAGTAATTCGGTGTTAGGATCAACCTAAAAATAGTTTATTTAGTGTCTTACGTTATTGTACATCAAATTTTGGTATTCTAACACACACAAACGCATGTCCAAAATGCAAAGAACAAGTCTAGAATGCTCATCACAGTTCGTTCAGGACCACCATTTAGACTCCTAAATTATAAATATTTTTTTGTGCCCAACAAACTTTTTTGATGCTTTTATTACACTATCTTGCAAACCCGCCATTGCAGCGGATATTCTTACGAAACTCAGAGACCGACCGAGGCTATGTTCTGAAAGTTATGTTTTGGTAGATGGTTAGATATTTCTATTGGGATAAATGGGGGTCCTTTACTTTTACATCACATGTTCTGTAAAGAAGTTATGACAATCCATCAAAGCGAAGTAGAGAAAATGGTTTGAGATCGAGGAGTACAAGCTAACAATCGAGAATAGGGAATTTTTTCTTGTCATCGACTTCCAGTTTGGTGAATATTTTGGTGCCTTGGATCCCGGTCCTACCTTCCAATCACGTGTCTTTCTTATCGTTAAGAAGACTGAGTTCGTAAAATTGCAACATGTCATTGATGTGTTTGAAAGATCGCTTCATCAGTTATTAGACGAGGATGTGACCCATGTCTTTCTTGATATCTGTTAGAGAAGGGTTTCAATGGTCAGGTGGCACGTCAACCTGGAAAGACGAGTATTTGGCTTTGGTATCCACATGTGATATATTAAACAGGTATCATGTAGTTAATATATAATCATCAATGTTATAAAAGGCACATCATGACGTGAGGCATGACTCTATCGTTAAGAATAATCACATGGCGTTGTTATTAGGCGTGACACATGGCATGTTATGATGCAATTTTTTTTTGTTTGATACACGTTTTTAGCTCTTTTTTATGTCTTTTCTGACCGGGCATACAACTATTGAGTTTTTTTGTTAATAGTTGTTGATATATCATTTTTAAAATTGGTTATATCTGATAAGAATCTATATTCATCTGGCAAATATAATTATAAATTAATACAAAATCGCCGCCTTACATCACGACTTGAAAAACGTCACGGCTTGTCATTGCTAGTAAAACTTGATGTTTGACCTTGTCACACCACACCTTACGCCTTTTACAACCTTGATAACTATCATTACTAATGTTTTTTTTATGAAATTAATTGTTTGTTTTTTTGGTGTTAAAGATATCCATCAAGTGGGATAATTTGAGATCAGTTGTACTCTCAGATAGAGACAATATTTAATAAGCTTTATCGGCCTTCTTTAAGGTTATCTTTTAGTTAATTTTCGATTAGATTGTCTTCAAAATGCAAATGGGCAAGATGTGGAAACAAGTTAGTTTTCAATTTTTTGCTTGTTCAATGGTTCAATGGTTTAGTGGTTGTGAAAGTGGGTTCAAGTTCTGTTTCGGTTCCAATTGTGAGTTTGCTCGTCTAAAGGCCCTCTCAACATAAACTTTGCGAGAAAAGATATGAGCAAACAAGAAATAAAGCTCACTATAAGCTCCAAGTTTCTTTTACAATCTTAAGAAGTTTAGTTTAGTTTAGTTTGTTTCCGCTAAAGAACAAGGGATATCACTCGCTATCAGTTCCAAATTTCTTGAGCATAAATTAATTAAGCAATGTTTAGTTGTTTAGTGTCGTGATTTTAGTGTGCATTTAATCACATCCTACGGTAACCATCTTCGGTGGAAATATGTGCTTACATCTCCACCCTCTTTGGTGAGTTATCGAACAAATTAAGATGATTTAGTTAACATTTTATTGTAGTAGCTCATTTGTTTACCATTGAAATTTAATTGTTTGTGTATTGATTTTGGCTAAAATTTGGTAGTTTTTGTGATAATTTTTGTTGTGAATGTTTCGGGATGGATTCCGGATGTTATTTGGTTGGATGTGGATGGTGGATGAAACTACCACTTTAGTTTGGAATTATTGACAAACTATCGGCTGTAAAACACTTACTATGAAGGAGATATTTGTTTGGATGTAGTGGATTCATAGAGCTTAGTCTGCCGGTGTCGTTGTCATATTTTATTTGTAGATTATATAATTAAGTTATAAGTAGTAATGATTTAAAAACGTGCAAGATTCTTTGTGTCTCGAAGAAAAGGAAAGAAAATCCACCTAAATGGCTAAATATTTCCCAAACGTAACATCATATGAACGTGTATGGTTGATACCAAACGTGCTTTCACACTTGTTACAACCAGACAACAAAAAATTTAAAGTTTTTTAATCGCTTTTTCCAGCCAGCCTATACACTCTTCTGACCACTTCAACACACACAAAGCAATAAATAATCTCTGTTATAATAAGATAATTAAAAACATTCCATAAAGTGGGAAAATCTAAATTCATATTTCTAACAAATAAAGATTCCCCACACAAATGTTTTTTTTTTATTTTTTTATTTTTTTATTTTTTTATGGCATCAATAAGTAAGATACAAACCCAAATACGATGACAAAAAAAAAAAAAAAAATCTTAAAACCATAATCCCTGCACATAAACCTGACCCACAACTAAAAAACCCTAAAAGAATCAAGTCGCCCAAAATTTTTTAAAACTGATTTATTTATTCTCTTTCAATCTGAATGGTGACATGGCTGATGTTATACTCTCTTTTGATATAATCCACGACCTTATCAAGAACCATATCAGCATCAGCTTCAGGCCTAATCCTGACGTGGCATGCCAACAACACTTTCCCAACAGTAATTGCCCAAATATGCAACTCATGAATCGCAACCACTTCTTCTATTTCACAAAGCCCTCTTTCAAGACTTGTTGCATCGATTTCTCTTGGTGTGCTCTCCATTAACACCTCCAATATGTCCCGAAGCATATTGATTGTTGTATACAGAACAATCACCGAAAACAGCAAAGTACATATCGGATCTATTACTTTTAAGCTTGGTTTGTACCATATTACCCCTGCCCCTATCATTACCCCGATACTCTGTATTAAATCCCCTAAAACATGAAGATACGCACCTTGCACATTTATATTCCCCCTTTTCTTCGTTTCTTTTGATGAGTAGGTTTTCAATAGAGGCTCATTATGTCCTTCATCATGATCATGTTCATGACCATGACCATGACCATGACCATGATCATGACCATGACCATGACCATGACCATGATGTTCGTGGGTTGTGACACTAACTCCATGGATATGTATATCATCTTCGCCATGATCATGATCATGATCATGTCCATGTCCATGGCTATGTCCATGTCCATGGCTATGGCCATGATCATGGCCTAGTATGAACATCATGAGAATGTTGACAATCAAGCCAAATGACGCGATGCCAAACATTAGACTGCCTTCGACATCAACAGTGCCATGAAGGAGACGATCAATGGCTTCATAAACAAGGATTCCAGTTAACAACCAAATGATTTGGATCGAAACTAAAGTCCCAAGGATTTCAATCCTGAAAAACCCGTAAGATTGCCTGGGTGTGGCTTCCCATCCAGAAGCCCAAACAGAGAACAGAGAGATTGCAAAAGCTGCAACATCTGATAACAGATGGGCTGCATCTGTAAGAATTGCAAGACTGTTTGCTTTGATTCCACCTACAACTTCCACACTCATAAATATCACACACAGGATCACTCCGCACCAGAGCTTCCACATTGATGCTGATCTTTCTTTTGCCTCCCTGGAGGTGGTTTTTGAGTCTGAGAATCCACATGGTGCTCCACCACAAACCTTGCTTACAGTTTGCCTGTTGTTCTCTTCAGATGGAAGAGCTGCAGATATGTCAACAGTGTGTCCATGTTCATGGTTCTCGGATTCCATCTGTAATAAGATAACATCAAATCATCAATACATATATAAAACTGTCAGTATATGTAGGACAAATGGTAGAAACATCACACATTTGGCCATTGCCAATCAAGTTAGGGTTTACATTAGCTCGTACAATTTTGTCAACAATTGATTAACAATAAATCAGATCAACTTGAAAAAAGTAACAACAAAACACAGCAAAGGAAATCTGTAGCACATTAACACCGGGTTTTTGAATTTATAAGAAGAAGAACCTTTAGATTGGGTTAGACTTTGAAAATTAATGTAGAAAAAAAGTAGAAATAGACTGACAAAGCTAAATGCAGAAAAACAGTAGAAAAAAACCATCTTAAGGACCTGATGTAAGGTAGATCAGTTTACAAACGAAAAAATATAAACAAACGACCATTAATCAGGCATTTGAAGGATCACACATACACGTACAGAAGAACGGGGTCTATGAACAAGGAGTTTACGAAGGCGTATGCCAGTTGACGATTATTCTATGTGGTATGAATCTTTTAAACAGCACAAACCAATAATGGGAATAAGAGATAACAATGGTCCAAAAAGTAAGGTACGAAGATTCCAAAAGGTGTGGCTCCCAATAATACAATTAGAAAACAAAGAAAGGATATTCGAATCACGAATGGAGTTATAAAAATAACCAAACGTCGTTACAGATGAACTTAAATCCATGGAATACTGAAAAAAAAAAATAGATAGAGAATTGTAGGCTTTACCTGCGAGCAATCGATTAGATTTGGTAGAATCCAGAACCCTATGTTTTACTTTCAGAGCTCGTGATGATCAGAAGGGAAAGGATTCTGTATGTGTAATGCGAAGCATTCGCAGGGGTTATCCATGGATTTATATAGAGAATCGAATGTCGTCTCCATGTGTTTTGTGTTTCGGGGGTATACACTCATGACTCATCCCAATTTTGGGTAACGATAGATTAGTATGGCTTTTAATATATTTGATGTTCGATATTAAAATATAAAATCTTGCAAAACATATAATATGAATTTTGGGTAAATAGATTACTATATTATCATTAATAGTAATGACTATTCACGGTTTTACGTAGATTCACGTTATTTAATATTTAAAGACATAAGTTAATTAATTTTTATTCTCTTGTTTTAAGGGAAAATTACAATTTTTTTTTTTTTTTTTTTGCCTATAATCACAACAACAACAAAAAAAATAAAAATAAAAAAAAATAAAAAAAATAAAAATAAAATTGATGATTGAATAGAAAGGTACATTTAACAATAAGGGATCTCATTATTTTAAAACCTTTGGTTTCGCATTCTTGCCAACATCATATTAAGTGATTCGTACACAATAATTTTTATCCATACACAACAATGCATGCTTTATAGATTGTACAATACAATAATTTAATGCATAATTTGTTCTGGATAACAAAAATTTGTTGTGTACGAATCAGTTTTCCTTTTTTATTACTTTCCTTAATGAATTACAACTATCTATTTTATCCTACATTAAAACCATCAAAATCAAAGGGCTTCTAGCTCAGCGGTATCCGGTGTTACCTTTCCTCCTTAAAGTTAAGGGTTCAAATCCCGTTGGAGATATAAGTGGATTTAAGGTTAGTTTATGAGTAGATTAGATTTGCCGTTTAAAAAAAAAAATTAACCCATCAAAATCACAATGAAATCATTATATAGAGAGCAAAATATCATCCAAATCAGCTACGTAATCCGGAGAAATCATGTTTATCGAATGTAATGCTATAGTAGTGATTTTTATCGCATGAGTACCCACGCAAATTCCAAACAAATCACCAGTAGAGTTATTGGTTTGCGTGTGTTTATCTTTTTTTTTTTTTTTTTAATTAGCTGTTAAGTCTTGTATTTTTCTTATAGATTGTTTCTTGTTTATGAGTTGCAAAATCACAAGAAGAAAATGGATGTGCTCGACATAACAACATCGAAGTTTAGAATTGAAATCATGAAACAGATCCATGTGCTACTTGTGAACTTTTTTTTCTTCATAATATCTATTTATTATTATTATTATTATTATTATTATTATTATTATTATTATTATATATATATATATATATATATATATATATATATACACACACACTAGCCGTTTACTCGCGTCAAGCGACGGGTGTGACAATGGTGGTTGAATGCTGAAAGATGAATTAAACCCTAGAAATGGAAACGTCAACGATATATATCCAAGATTTGTGAACAGAAATTGCAAGATTTGGGGAAATACGGAGATAAGGAATGAACCGGATCAAAATAACCTAAGAATAGGGGATAAGAGATTTGACATTTTCAACTGTTGACTATATGTATTCTACTGTTTTTGTAATGCATAAATTGATTGTACAAAATCATCGTATGTTTGTACGACTTAAAATTCAGCATTTGATCAAAAATGCTTTATAAGGTAATTATGATAAGATATATATATATATATATATATATATATATATATATATATATATATATATATATATATATATATATATACAAGTAGGATCATGCAAAAACATAAATATCTTGCGAAAACGCGAAAACAGATTTTATCTTATAAAAACCAAACACAAGTACTATAAAAATTAAATTTATTAGCAATAAATTAAATATAATAAGTTTACATTTGATTGTGTTATGATAATATAGATTTAAAGACGGTTTTATCAACTATTTGTTTTTTCATATCCTTGACCACTTTTAAATTCATGTTTTATAATAAAAATGTCAAATATCATGCTTCGCTAATATGAAACAATTTCTTATGTATAATCGATTATCATCATGTAGTTCAAAGTTTGGATGGATTATTGTCCAAAATATAAAGTTGAGGTGACACAATATCATAGTTTTTTCTTGTTTTCACGTTTTCGCAAATTATTTGCATTTTCGCATGAACCCTCCCCTATATATATATATATATATATATATATATATATATATATATATATATATATATATATATCTTTCAATTGGTTAATGTTTTAATAAAAGAAAAAGGAATATTCACACAAATTTGAAATTACCATCATAAATGGTAATTTATCCCAACTTTTCAAAAATACCACCTTGTCTAAAATTGAATATTTGGACTGGACTTACTTTATTTCACACTAACTTTATATCTTATCAGAAAAAAAGACATTTGGATTTCCAAATTAAAAATATAAAAGCTTAATTTGTCTAATTGTTAATTTGTAATCGGTAAAATAGTTATGGGACCACACCACCAAATTATTGATAAAACGCCAATAGCTTGTAAATTATAAAGCAAAACTATTATAATAGGGTTTTTTTTTTTTTCATAAGCTTTTTGGAATGAAAAAGAACAAAAATACAAAATACATGGAATTTTCACTTTTCAGACTGTACTTCTTGGACGGGCCTTGGCCTTTCCAATAAGTAATATAACACATAAATATAAATCACTAACGCTATCTAATAATGAATTGGCCAACAACTTGCGTAATTCATGTAGTATGAATAAACAAAGATGCCTCGAATTTTCAAAATATATATTTAATCTTTTTCTTTTAAAGAACTTTCCTTTTATGGAAAGTTTCTATCTTAGAAAACCAATTTTATCAATTCTCATGCAACTTTGGTTCAAAAAAAATTGATGTTTGGCTGTGTGTTTTAACTTTAAGGGGAGGCGTGGCCTGCCCCACTTGATAAACTAAACAGTAAAAACAAAAATACTAATAAATTTAATAAATTTATAGGAAAATTCATGAATAACCTAAAAATGAGGTTTGGTTGAAAAAAATACCAAAGAAATTTAACTTTCATTTAATGATCAGGATTTCCGCAAAAACCTTTTATGTGGAAGTCGTTTAGTCGCTGCGGAAGGACAATTTTTGTGAGGAATGACGTTTTAGGGGTATGATTGTAAAATTACATGGAAAAAAACGAAAAGGGAGCAGATTTGCGGATTCGACATCGGTGCTTTGTGGAGGAAACGGATTTCTACAGAAATCTCGAATCAATTGGAAATCCAAATCGATCAACGCGGTGAGGCGATCGCAGAAGCTGCCGCAAGTAAACAGAGACACGTTAGGATATGGCTATGGAACTCAGGTAAGTCCACCATCTCTTTCCCCTCTTTGAAACCCTGCATTTTTTAGTTAAAGTTGTAGAAACGTAGATTTTTAGTTATAATTTGTATATTCAATGAATGGCGTAGCGACTATGATTTTCCAACCAATTTAAACTTTTCAAAAACAACCCAAATCCATTAATTATTACAAAAAGGTTTTCAGTTTGTTTATTATCAGAGTACCCTAGAAATATCATTGTAAAAATGAGGAGCAATACGATCACGCATTCACCTTGCCACGATCTCCTGAAGTACCTGAAACAGAACACTAAAACTGTAAGCCCGGAAGCTTAGTGAGTTACCCCCAAAATACCAACCACATATAACCATGCTCATAACATATCACAATACAGATCAACCATGCATATCGAGTCTACAGTGTGATTGGTCAGCCCACACCGGGCCTTCAATCCACCTGATCCACTCTCTGAGTGTGACATCCCCATTTTCACGGTCAGAAAAGACCGATTTTGTTTATGCTTTATAAAAATCAGAGTTCTTCTTTTAATAAAAATGTTGCGGAATTCGTTCCCAGAAAAACACGATAAATACGTTATTAAAACATGTTCGAAGAAACGTATTTTATTCATTTTAAAACGTTTGGGATGTCATCGTCAATACAGGAACATAAGCATAAACGGAAATTACATTTATTTACACTAGTGATCTACATCTCTTTAATCTCTCAGTGTAATGTGACTTCATATCAACACCTGTGATATAAATAAACTGAGTGGGTCAGGTTGGGAAGCCTGGTGAGTACATAGGGTTTTCAACCCACAATAATATAATTATTATGTTTAAACAATCAAACAATCAACCCAATTACACATCCCCATTATCTTCTTTACTCTTAAGGATTCGTTTATTCCGAAGTCCCTTACTTCCAGGGTTATAGCACTGGCACTAAATCTATAGCTGCCAATGTTCGTTCATAAAGCACTAATTCCATAGCTGCTATAGTCTATTCACCGGGTACTAAGTCCATAGCTACCAGTGTTTATCTAATATGTACTAAGTCCATAGCTACCAATTCCTTAACAGGTACTAAATCCATAGCTACCGGTGTTTGTCCAATAGGCACTAAGTCCATAGCTGCCAATGTTTATTAGTTAGGCACTAAGTCTATAGCTGCCAATGTTTACTCGCATCATCTTTTATCTCTCATCATTCATCTACCCGTATCATACCCAACATATTCGTGTATATAAAATACGTATACAGTTTAAATCATCTAAAACATGTATAAAAACGTTCATCCAACACAGACAGCAAGTATACAGATAATATGCACACATAGCACGTAGTTTATATAAAATACTTCATATCTATGTGTAAGATGAAAGTAACTATGCACTCACCTGAAAAGGTGGTGATTCCGAAATCAGATAGCGCTTCGATTCTTAAAATAATTTCCTTCGACGAAACCTAGTATTATTACCACTAGAGTTTTGTCTATTATTCGCTGAGACTAATTAATAGTCTAGCTATTATTACTATTATATAAGCGTTAAAAAAATACTTATATAACCCATAATAATAGCCCAAGTATTTATTATAAGTTCTTAATAACGTTACTATAATTAAATAAAAGCTATATTAAAAATAGCGTAGGCGTAGCTCACTTACAATGGGTTTTATATAAAACCAGGATTGCTTGGAGCAGCGTTCACGAGCCGAAAAGCTCTTCTTCTCGAAGCCGTCGAGCACTCCGGGGCTTCCGCCTCGTGCTAGGGAGGTTCCCTAGGCTATTCGGGGGGGGGGGGTTTCGGGGCTAGAGAGAGGTTCTAGAGAGAGAGTAAAAAGAAGAAAGAATGGGAAATGTGTGAAAAAAATGAGGGTGGGAGAGGTTCTATTTATAGGGTGAAAATGGTTGAAATTGGTGTCACATGTCACCATCTAGTGGCAAGACTTTGGGAGAAAGCGATGGCCAAGATTGTGCTACATCACCTATTTTCGAACAGCACACTTCTGACTTCTAAAATCTGTAACTTTCACATACGACCTCCGTTTTTGACGTTATTTATATCCACGCGTAGGTAAAAATAATATCTACAACTTTCATTTTGACTCCGTCGGCTAATTCTCGACCGATCTTAAATTTAACAGTACGAGGCGTTTAGACTGTTAAATGACCGCGAAGAATTCGTAACTCCATCATACGGACTCTGTTTTCGTCTGTCTTTTTACTGTTAAG